ATGAGAGGCCTCTCCATCTGCATCACCTGCCTCCTGAGTGTGTTCCAGGCTGTCACTATCAGTCCGAGGACCTCTTTGTTGGCAAAATTTAAACATAAACTTAAAACATACACAATCTATGCTTTCTTCTACCTCTGGTCTTTCAATTTGTCATTCAGTAGTAGGTGGATCTTCTATGTCGGTGCTTTTACCAATGTGAGTGAGAGCAACCAGATGAAGGTCACCAAATATTGCTCAATCTTCCCCAAGAACTACATCATTAGTGCACTGTCTTCAACAGTGACAATCTTCAGAGATGTCTTTCTTGTAGGAGTTATGCTGACCACAAGTGCATACATGGTGATCATCTTGTTTAGACATCAGAGGCAATGTAAGCATCTTCACAGCATCAGCCAACCGAGAGTGTCCCCTGAGAAGAGGGCCACCCAGACCATCTTGCTGCTGGTGGTTGTCTTTGTGGTCATGTACTGGGTGGACTTCATCATCTCATCCACCTCAGTACTGTTATGGAAGTACAACCCAGTCATCCTTACTGTTCAGAAGTTTGTGATGAATGCCTATCCCACAATTACTCCTTTGGTACAAATCAGTTCTGATAACAGAATAACCAATATTCTGAAAAAGATATAATCAGTGTGCCACCAAATTTTTTAAAAAGCATAAATTATCTCATTTTTTAATAAAATGATTTATTTATTTTTATTTATGTTTATGAGTATTGTGTCAGCTTTTATGCATGTGTCCTGGTCCCCACAAAGGTCAGAAGAGGTCCTTTCCCCCCTGGATATACAGATGGTTGTGAAGAGTCATTTTGGCGCAATTATTTTTTTTAAAAAACACAGATTCTTCTTAAACTGTTAAGTTGTTCAAGTAGCAAACCAAGAATCTTCCTATATTTAACTAAAGTTTGTGGTGTCATGAATGTACATTCTGATGACATTTCTACTGCTGAGTGATGCAGAGTTCTTTAGGTTCATTGTACACCACAAGTTGACATTTCCACAGGGAGTCCCTTACTCTCCCCCTTCTTATTTTATATCATCATTGTTCCACTGATGCCGAATTTACTCAAAGGGAGGAATTTTAATCTACTTTCAGCTACCGAGAATAGTTTAACTATCCTATTGTAGCTTTAATTCTCTTTCCTAATTATAGTTTCTCTGGATCATAAAAATAGTGTGAATTTCAATATTCCATTTTTACCCACAGTTACTTAAATAATCTTGTATGAAAATTTCATTTGCCTGTTTATTTGCACTTCATATCATCCAAACTTACTGAAAATCATCGGTACTAAAAATTGTTTATACATACGTACATGATGTGCAGTGTGGCTTTTGTGAGTGTGTGTGTGCATGTGAATGTTCACGGATGAAGGATATGTGTGCATGTGCACATGGAGACCAGGAGACAACCTTCCCTTTTCTTCTTCATGTGCCATTCATCTTTATTTTGAGAGAGCATCTCTCACTGTAACCTGGAGCTCACCCAATAGACCAAGATGGTAGCTCTAGTTCTTCTCCTGCCTCTGTCTCCCCAGCTCTGGCATTAGAACTGTTCACCACCAGATTCCACCATTTCAATGCTGTGTTTTTCTTTTATTGAAAAAAGATTATTTTTCTTATAATATATTCTAATTAGGGTTTCCTGCTCCCCTCCCCCTCTCAGTTCTTCCTCTCCTCCTCTCAACCAGATTTCTGCCTCTCCTTAGAAAAAAACCAAGCATCTGAGCAATAATAATAAAATAAACAACAAGATAAAACAAACATAAAAAAATCAGAGTAAGACAAAAGAAACCGAAGAAAAGAGCCAAAGAAAAAGCACAAGAATCACATATAGATATAGAAACAGAAATTCACACATAGGAATGTCATAAAAACACAAAAGCAGAAGTCATAATATAATGTGTATATGTATATGTATATGTATATGTATATGTATATGTATATGTATATGTATATGTATATGTATATGTATATGTAAATGCAAAGGGCCTGTAGATTCCATTGAGTTCATTTGGTGTTGACAATCTGCTGCTGGGCAGGAGGCCTTCCCTTAAGAGTGGTTTGTTTCCCCAGTGGGACTCATCGGTGAAAACTAATGTTTCACCTGCCAGTGGCTATCAAATGGAGACAGCTTCCGGGTTTGGGATGGGGGCATGTATCCACTTCTGTCTATCCAGGAGCCCATCTGGTTCAGACCTGTGCATCCTGCCATAGTCTCTGAGTTTCCACGAGTGTCTGTTGTGCTTTGTTTACAAGACCTTGTTTTCTTGGTGTTCTCCATCTACTCTGGCTCTTCCAATCTTTCTACCACTACTTCCAAAGAATCCTCTGGGCCCTGAGGGGAAGAATTTGATAGAGAGATCCAGTATAGGGCTGAGGTTTTCAAGGTCTCTCACTCTTTGCACATTTTCCGGCTGTGGGTCTCTGTGTTTGTTCTCATCTGCTTCTGGAAGAAGCCTCTCTGATGATGGCTGCTCAGGACACAGATCTATGAGCCCAGCAGAGTGTCATTTGGAGTCATTTTATTGCTACATTCTTTTAGTACAACACTAGTATTTGATTTTCTCCTTTGTTCTTTGGCTTATTTAGACTCAGATTCTTCACCATGCAAGCAGTGTCCAGTACGAATTCCATGCTTTAAATCAAATCAGATATTGGTCGGTTATACTCACAAGTTTGTGCCATTATTGTACTAGCATATCTTACAGGCAGGACACCATTGTAGATTGAAGGGTCTGCAGCTGGGTTGCTTTTTACTTTTCTCCTTTTGTAGTGTCCATGTTACCTTTCAGTACCATGAACTCTAATCTGTAGGGGTGAAGGCTTTAGATTGCCCCCCACTTGAATTCTTTGAGTTCAATTAGATGTGTAGGTGTGCCAGGGACTGCATATAAACATGCTGCCAGCAGAGATTGGAGAAAAGTGGACCCAAGATTGTGGACCATCAACCCTCTGTGTGTTCCCCTTCGGGTCCCCTCTAGAGGGCCAAGGCAGAAATGCCTGTGTCCCAAGGTCATGCTTTATGGAATGCACATGTCATGTCCTCCTCCATATAATTACTCCTTGTAATACTAGTCTTTTTCTTCTATCTGATCTTCATGTTCTGTGTTCCTAGATTAGTGGTGATTTCTGTGATACAGGAAAGGAGTGAAGTAAATTTCACAGGAAATTATACAGAGATGATCATCCAGGCTGGGGTTAAGGCAGTTATACAGTTCATGGGAAAGAATCTGCAGCCTGGGGAAGCTTTTCAGGCTTGGATAAACTGTACCGAATGTGTGGTCAACTATAGCACATGGTATGATGTGGATCAACACATTGGACTCAGTTTGGCCATGAAGAAAACTTCAGTTTCTGAGGATATTCCAAAGGCATTGTGTAAAACTTGAGACCCTAAGGGGTATTGGCTGAAGACTGTGGATGGAGTAACATATAGATGGGATGACAAACTAAAAGTGTGGGAACCTGGAATAGGAGGAAAATAGTGGCCTCCACCAAGAAAGGGAGATGGCAACTTTAATCCAGATATTTTTTATTCCTCCTGAAGGAGTGTGGAGACAATGTGGCAACTGATGGAGTGATCGCTACATATTTTATTGGGTTCCTAGATTAAAAAGAGGTACCAGGCTGGGCAGTGGTGGTGCACGCCTTCAATCCCAGCACCCGGGAGGCAGAATCAGGCGGATCTCTGAGTTTGAGGCCAGCCTCGTCTCCAAAGTGAGTTCCAGGAAAGGCACAAAGCTACACAGAGAAACCCTATCTCGAAAAACAAACAAACAAACAAACAAACAAAGAAAAAAAAGAGCTGCCAGAAAAGGTGAGCATCCTTTCATGGAAACTCTGTAAATTGGATCAGGTCTTCCTTGGAATTGTTGGGATACAGAAGGACTGAATTGTCTGACTTGCAGGGACAGATTTCTTGTCTGAGGTCATTGTGGCCCACCAGTCATGGAGTTTGGTGTTGCTGGAGGGCTTCTCTCCAGGATCCACCAAGCCCTGCAGTCCCACAATCCACGTATAAAATAATCACTCAGACGCTTATATTAATTATAAACTGTATGGCCGTGGCAGGCTTCTTGCTAACTGTTCTTTTATCTTAAATTAACCCATTTCTATAAATCTATACCTTGCCACGTAGCTGGTGGCTTACCGGCGTCTTCACATGCTGCTTGTCCAGGGGGTGGCTGCAGTGTCTCTCCTTCTTCTTGTTTCCCCGATTCTCTTCTCTCTTTGTCCCGCCTATACTTCCTGCCTTGTCACTGGCCATCAGTGTTTTATTTATATAGAGTGATATTCATAGCAGCTTGGTGTTTGCAGAGGGCTGAGGAGGAACTCAGGCGCCTGCAGGGGTCTTGAGGTCAGAGCAGGCTGTGTGAGAAGGAAATGACTGTCTGGTACATTGACCACTGTTCTTATTTTTACCTTTTTTTTTTTTGTGAAATTGCATGTTATTAGCCTCTGGGTCAAGTGCTCAGAAGATTGTATAATCATTAATAATAAAAATAGATTACGCTGACTTCGGTGTTAAGTCTGGGATAGTTCCTGTGTTTAGCAAAAGATGATGAAGATTATATTGGTGATTTTCTAAGAATAACCTTTGGAATCATGAGAACATTTTATATTGGGTGATTTCCCCTTTTCTTTCTGTTCCCCCTTGCTTATGATAATAAAAGACTGAGGTTACCAGGGCAAAAATAGAAGCTAGGGACGCTAAGGAAGCTGTAGCAAAGAGGATACTTAGCAACTGCAGAAGCCGGAAGTGACCTCAGCTTGCACAAACACTGTCTCTGAATCATTACTGTGCCTTCCAGGTATCCCATCCTTCGGACACCCGGAAGTGCTGAGGCTGGTTCCCGGCATAACTGTTGTCCTCAGGATCAGTTTGTAGAGAGCAGACAACAACCTTGACAATACCCTGGGTTGTTTTCAGATCCTCATGAGACCCCTTTGGCCAACAGCTCAGTTAGATGTAACTAATTCCTGGTAGTGGAAGTTTCATTTGGTGTTGAGAGATTTAATTTGGGGTTCAGTACCCCCGTTATTTGGTGATTTCATTTAGATTGCTTTCATATATGTATATACTTTAGGAAGCTTCTTCTGTATTAAGTTCTCCACATGATCCCTTAAATGTTCCCTAGTTTTAGCTATCCCTCCCTGTACTCCCTTCTTGTCCCTCTTCCCCCTCCCCTTTCCCATTTGATCCCCCTTTCAGCCTTCCTCATCCATCCATAACTATCTGTTCTATTTTCCCTTCCTAGTGAGGTCTCCTGATCCCTGTTCCCTAGCTTTATGCCTAACCTCTGTGGTTATATGGATTATGATTTGCTTATCAATGATTTAATAGCTCAAATCCAAATATAAGCAAACATAACCATGTTTGTCTTTCTGGGTCTGTGTTACCTCACTCAGAATGACTTTTTCTAGTTTCATCCCTTTGGCTAAAAATTTCATTACTTTTAATGACTGAGTATTGTTCTATTATGTAAATAGATCATATTTTCTTTATTCATTCTTCTGTCAGTGGACATCTGGTTGTTTCCAATTTCTGGGTACTATGAATAAGGAAGTGTCTTTGTAGTAGAATGAAGTGTCCTCTGGGTATATGCCCAAT